ACTAATAAAAATTAGGGCTTCGTTAGACCCTCCTCGAAAATCCGATTTTTAGGAAATCGGCATCGTTATACCGCATCCTAATTCACCAAATTCCTTGAATGAATGTGAAAACGCTCCCGAGAAATTTCCTTGAGTTCCTCGGAATCCCCAACCAAGTCTGGTACACGCCTCACATGCTGTGATTCATGGCAGACGTCCTCCGGCGGTTCCCGCTCCTGCCGCTGGCCACTCTTCTCCTGCTCCTTGTCGTGCTGTTCCACGTGTGCATCGTTGTGTGGGGTTCTGGCAGCAAACGGAAACGGCGAACCGTGAAGAAGCCGTCGATGGACATGTGAGGAAGACGACGATGGACAGCCAGGATCTCCGACAGGGGACAACGCCTCAACGATCTCCAGGAACACTCTAGGGGACATCCACAACTTCTCCTTGTAGTAGCCCTCCGCCGCATCGTCAACCTGCCGGAGATCCTCCCATGTCCCTCCTGTCCTTCTCCTCATCCACCATCTCGGCGTCGCCCACGGGATCACACCCGAAGCCATGGCGCAGCAGAATTGCACAATGGATTCTGATAACGACACACAATCGGGTGCATCCATCACTTGTTGCATCAGCTGGCTCTGCGTGTGAATGGACGATCTCATCCTCAGGCGAGTTGTCGTTCTCTCAATGCGATAAAGCATGGCGACGACTGACAAAGCTGCGACCACCGTGTTTCTCTCCAATGTCGTTAATGCCTTCGCACCACCTGGGAGCTCTCCCTCCATTGTCAGGACTTGCTATGCACAAGCGCCCACCACTCGTTCGCCCGACGGCGCCCTCGCTGCACCTTCTGCATGTCGTTGGGGACAGTGCTCGCACTCTCCACGTTTCACGGAATCGTTACGTTCGCGCTCAGCTGTGATGGCCTGAAGGGCATGTGGAACACGAAGGCGACGTCGCGGTAGAGAACTGTTACGCATACACGCTACGTCGCCCAACGTTCCAATGCCTGCCTTTTAAGCCATGGCTGCCATCACTCCTCTGCACAAACGTTTCGCCCCCGTCTCCAGTCCAGGCGCCAGGACGCCTCAGGCACGTATGCGTCACAACGGAGGGTTCAGAATTCAAAATCCGAACCGGGATGTTGGAGCCCTTTTTTTTTCTTCAGCCCAGTAGGCCTCCCCTCCGCCGCCACTGGACCACGCCCCAGGACGCATGGACATCCCCGCACGATGACGGACATCCACCCCCGCAGCCTCCAAGGGTTTTCCTTGGGACCCATCGAATTAGGACGTGGTGTAACAACGACGCCGAAAACCAAAAAAAAAAACAAGGACTTCATCGTAATTCCTGAGGATTTTCGAAGGAGGGTTTAACAAAGCCCCTATAACTACTACACGTCACTGATGTTAGTTTGAGCTGTAATGGATACTCATACAATCATGGTGAGTAGAACACACAGAAGTGAAGAGCACACAGCAAGCAGATTGAAAAAGTAAACATGAGTACAATGAGTACTGATGTCTCCTCTGGGACATCCGTCGAATTGGAAAGATACAGAGAATGAAGATTATCATGGCCCCTGGGCAAGGATGACACACATAAATTGAGAAATGGTCACACACACATAAAAAAGAAAAAGGTAAATGTTACGATCCTGGCCAATTTCAAAGTATACATTCATCTGAAAGTACAATGCCATCCAATCGCAAAAAGAAATGAATGAACTTGAGAGGAAAGAGAGGGAAAGAAGAAGAAGAAGAAGTAAGAAAGAAGAAGATGATGATGTACTCCAGCATAGACCAATGTCAAGGCTCTTCTTCTTCGCCAACCAATC